GGGTGGAAAATATTAAAATGGATCTTAGAGAGATAGGATTGGATTGATCTGGCTCAGGATAGGGACCAGTGGAGGGCTCTTGTGAACGCAGTAATGAACCTTCAGGTTCCATAAAATGCTGGGAAATTCTTGAGTAGCTGCAGAATTGGCGGCTCCTCCAGAAGTGCTCAGCTCCATGAGTAAATAAGTAGTTCCTATAATGTTTATGGTCCAGTGAGGTGTTCACAATCAATACCACATCATACAGGTATGGGAAAATTATGATGGAAATTACTTACTATTGCTCTGCATGGGTTTTTGTGAGTCCACAAATAGGAGTTCCTGATATTCTTCATTCCCTCACAAGTAAACCCCATCTCATCAGTGAATAAAATATAATCTTCGAGTACTAATACGTGGGCTGTGCTGTACCATGACTAATGAGCTGGCTTCCACTTGGATACATCTGTGCTTGCTTGTGCATGTGCACCAAAGCTACAGCAGGAAACATCCATAGCCTCATAATCATTACGAATCGGATCTGTGTTCATTATGACTGGGAATGACCTTGGGAATAAGATAATGGAAATGTTGACATAAGCAGACACCTATGTGTTGAACTTGGCACTTTTGGCTCTGCATTACGTAATGGACAGTTACGGGGATTCTGGAGCATAATTTAAATTTAAAAGTAATGTGGAATATAGTGTTCAGACCTATGTTTTGGAGGAATATATCACACCTATCTTGAGGATCATATAGTAAGCCAAGCAGGAAGCCAGCAGGAGGAGGCATTACAGCCCAGGAGACAATGCTCTTTAATAGTAACCTCTGTGAGAATCTTGAGGACAGCGGCATATCAGTAACTGATATGCAATTAAAAATAAACAGAATTTGAAAGCATATATAGTACTATTATACAACTGTCAACACAACAGATTTGTAATAAATCAATATTATTTTCTTAATTTTTGTTTGTTATGTACATTTGCTACATGTTTCAATCCAGGCAAATATTCACAAAATGTACACTCATATTGAATTGTATTACTATTGTGGATCCATATTAGTGATCATAAATATAAATTTCATTACAATTCTTATTTAATTACAAATGTGAATATAGCTTAAAATGTAAAAGTTAAAACTCAGGAGTTAAAAAGTTAAAATTGAATTAAAATTTTGACAGTCTATGATGATGTATCACAGAGCGGAGGGGTTTTCTGGGAATCTGCATTGTTTTTAATTATGTTCATCTAAAAACATGTTATAGATGTTTTAGTATATTGTCATGTGTAGAGGGGTTAGCGTGACAAATAATAACGGGTTCTAGATTTGATGATCATATTTATTGGCACTTTGATTACAGTTACAGTCAGTTATAACAACTCACACATTGAACTCCTCCTGAATGACGTCTCTCTGATGAATCTGTCTGAAGAGTTTCTCACAAATGAAATCTCCTGGACTGAACTAACTTATGTGCAGACCAAATATAGATCACCAAGTTAAACAGTAAATTGTCCTCTGTTATTTTGTTGTCATGGGAATGTCTTTGCTAATATTCATTGCCACGAAAACAGGTGCTAGCGAACCGTTGCCTAGCAAAATGACTTCCACTTCTGCTGCTATTCTGGCTTTTAGGCAGTGTTTACCAAGTTATTGCCTAGTAAATGGTCATATTTCATCACAATATAATATAATGTTGAGTGTTGTATGGTCACATGGTGTGGTGTAAATATTTACTTATATATTGCATGGTGCATTTTCCACATGTAAATGGTGTGTATTCTGTTTTCTTATTTAGTGTCACGAGAAATGAACAGTATTAGTTTGCTTAGATTTGGTGTTAGCTCTATTTTCTCTTTGTTTTTCAACATTATGAACATTGCCAAAGAAGTTAATTCTTGCCACATTCTGATTTTGCTTTCCAATGAGCTGCCAACTTCACACAGATGATCGTGTCAAGTATAAGCTCTTCCATTTCTTTGCCATAATTAGATATTTTCAAAATTTTGAAGTTAACATAATCTGAACTGCAGTAGATATGACAAAATCTAAAATACGCATCTATGTTGTTATATTCTGTGACATTAACATCCCACCCAACCTTCTTTTAAGTTATGATTTTCTATATGTGCAGTGTTAAGAAATTTGTGGTTGTGATGGTTTTGTCATTATTATGAAGTGGTCACTGTAGGCCATACTCATTCTGTTGTGGTTCATATTTTGTTAACTTTGGTAATGACCTATTTATTGGCTGCGCAGAAGTGTGTGGATGAGTTAAGTACTTTTTAATTTTGATCTGCAGTGTTTTATGGTGCATGTTGTTTCAGGGATTTTTCATTTTGGTCTGCAGTGTTTTGTGGTGCATGTTGTTTCAGGACGTCCAATAGTTAAAGGTAATGCCAACTTCCAGTATGCAGCTAATGTTGATTACCAGCAACAGCAGCAACACCGCCATAATTCAGTGCTGTCTAGTGGTGGTAGTTACAGTAACAGTGTACAAAGATCAAAAATGACACTCGCTACACCTCCTCCAAATATGACTCCACAGTTCAACTCACTCATGATGATGCATCGACCACCTAATGTTAGAGGTAAGGGCTGTCTGAATTTTTGGGCTGGATGAATGAATTGCATTGAATGGAACAAATCAGCTTTTGATAGAGATAATTCATTAGACAAAGACGTGAATTGTATAAATAGAAATGTAGATATATTAATCTTTTCAGTAATGTTCACTAAACATTTTGTTCTGTGACACCTCATTAGCATAACCAATGAAAAGACTCAGCACAGAGCTATTTGCTTGCAAGAAATAGTCAAGCACTGGAATGGCTAAAAGATTTTTAGAAATGAATATAGGAATATTAAGTCTATGACCATATATTGCTACCAGATTATAGGACAGTATCATGATATGCTGCTGAGACAGCAGACATTTAAATGATTCCATTCTGATGAATGAAGGTTCTACTTAAAAAGACCTAGAATGCACATTTATGATCAAAATTCAGTATTTCCCATAAAAATTATTTTATTTGAAATTGATAAGATTATGTAGGAAACTGAATTTAATATGTATGAAATTCAGTTAGCTTACCGTGAGATGCTGCATTGTAATATCTGATGTGTGTTTGCCCTAAACTTTGCATTCAACAGAATTTCTACACTGAACAAGCAAGCTGTATACCAGCTGCACTCTGAAATGATACCTAGTCTCTTTATTTCCCTATATTATGTTTATGTATAATCAGAGTTTAGTACTGCAACGATAATAAGCATGAGAAATATCTTTATATACCACTTTTGTGTTTCCACTATAGGAGCTGATCTTTCATATCAACCCTGCCTGCTTGTTTGTTATCCAAAATACATATACATTTGCTTTTCACCCTTCCTTTATGTATCACACTTTTTGTTTTATGCATGTAGTGGATTGATAACGAGGTGACATTCGTTTGATTTCCCAATTTTGTCACAGTCACAGATCCTGAATGCTGTTCTGTAAGTTCATTTTTTTTAGATTTTCCTCTTTTACAGATTTCAGAACATTCTTTTTCTTCAATGTCAAATTTGTGACACATTCTGCTTTCTGTTTTTGTCACAGGATGTACAGGTTGTAGAAATTCTTTCTCCACTTTGCCTATCTCTGATTCAGGGGCTCCCCCAAGTTCAGAATAATGGCAGCCATTTGAATTCTATGTCCTTGTCATTATAAACAACGAAGTGTCATGAATAGCCTGTCACTACATCATGTAGTTTAAATATCTTAATCCCAAATTGAGAAGACTACATTTGGAGGTATTGTTTGCCTTCCATAGTTTTAGGGATTCAGATACAGATTAACTTTGTCTGGGAGAAACAGTGCCTGAAATTCATTTAATATGAAGTATCTAAACTTCAGGAAACCAAGGTTTGTTACATGGTAGAGTGACTGTAGATGGGGTTTGGATTGGTAATTGGATCATCACACGCTTTTACAACATGTTACTATACTTCACAGATCACTACAGAACACACTAGGTCTTCTCAGTCTGTTACAGTCTTTACTAGCCGTTGCTTGTTAGCAGCTTCTAATGGAGGACATTCTCCTTCCTCTGAGTTCCTGAACTGTCCCCAGCCCCAGCTACCAGATTCACACAACAACTGAACCCCAGTGGTTATCAAACTAACTCTCGCTCTCCACTCGGTCAGTTGGTTAAATTGCTGCTGGCCTTTGCTTGCACAATCATTCCTGGCTTTTGTACCCTTGAGATTCATGACCAAGATTTTTATTTTCTCCTAAACATGCGTGTGTTTTGAAGTGGGGCTTCCTCTTTGACAAAGGAGGGTTCAATCTTTCCATGTAGGTGTTAAGTTTGTTGCACTGTAGTATCAGCTGTCATGGCATCCATGTCACTATAGACTGTGCATCCCTTGTCACTGCACTATACAAAGTAAGATTTCTGAAAAGTATGTGAGGGTTTCCTGTCAGTGAAGGCTTGTGCAGCAGGTTGTGCCTTAACTTATGTAAGCTAACTGGCCCTGCTTATAACATCTCGGCACAGGCCCCACAGAAAACAGTTCCACTGGTGTAGTGCAGTTGCCATAGTAACCTGCTTGTTTGTGGAACCATTACTTAGTGGCTGTTGTATAGTTGCTTATTTCGCGGTCATTGCCTAGCAACAGGTCAGCATGTCACAGTATTGTCACGTGCAGGTGGTATGTGTGATTGATATTTGTGGGTTCTAGATTAGATTTATTGGATGCCACTAGTATGATGGCACTTGCTTGCAACATTTCACACATTCAACTCCTGGATAACGAATCTGTCACTGTTGTCTGGATCTTAGACTAACCTCTAGCCTCTAGTCTTCTCTTGAGCTCCATAATTAATGAATCCCATAGTGTATGAATGAATCTGTCTCACAAACTCTCCTGTTACAAGCCTTCAGTGACCCATATAGACGTCACCTCCTTCAACAGTAGAGTTATTGTGTTCCTCGCTGTTACTGTACTTTGGGGGTTTGTTGCCGAGTGAACAGAAACTTTTCTGTATGCACTGCTTAGGCATCGATGTGACTCTCTATACAATGCATTGCTTATGCAGTTGTATTTGTTGTTGTGGAAACATGTTCGAACAATTCACCATCCAACGTGTTGGTGTCTTCCGTGTTGCCACAAGAATGTGCTCAGCAAAGCCCCACCCAGCAGATGGGTAGATTGCAGCTTTCAAGTGTAATGTCACATTATAGATCTTTCTTTTCATTATCAGTGAAATGGAGGAAGTTACATATCAAGACAATGCACTCTTGTGGTGACATCAGCAAAACCTGACCTGACATTTGCAGCAAATTATGATTGGTGTGTAGGCTTTTGAAATACCCATCAGCATGAATAGTCCCAACACAACTTATATTTTCACCTCTGCCACTGATGTCCATGATTTTACAATCAGGCTGTGTGAAATTAGATGTCCTGTTGAATATCAAAATTGTTCACCATAACGATTGGTTTCTCTCAGTCATTTGGACAAATTCCATGAAAATCTATTGAAGATGGCTGTCATACCATTAAGCCCTACATGGAATTCTGTTACCTGAAATTGCCCATAATATTTTCCCTTCTACCTTTATTGTGTCCTTCCATTCAGACTGAAGAACAGTGCCTTCCTTCTGATCACTGTTGACTGGGTTGTGTACAGGGTTGCCAACCTGCTTCATTACGCATCTGAGCTACACAACATGTATTTTGGCACAATCAGAATTTAGGCATCCACCGTCGTTTTCATTGACTGACTTCAAAAACTCATCTTACAGAGAAACACATTATGAAGCTACGTGTTTAGTAATCCACTGTTTGGTAGCAGAGCCTGAATGTGGAACGTGACTAATATGAAACTCTGTTTGTTGATATCATGAATCATTTGAATCCAGTTCACAACATGTTTGCTTAAAATCCATTTTAATGTCAAACCCTTTTCAGTCTTCCAAACAGTTATGAAGAAAGTCGTCTTCTGGGTTTAGGCGCCGTGTATTCTTTGTTTTGGCCGACGTTTCGGAGGAACGTATCGTCTCCATCTTCAGAGCAGTTGAATGGCTTGGAATGCAGAGAGCAGTAGAATACACGGTGCCTAAACCCAGAAGACAACTTTCTTCATAGTCATCGCCGTGAAAACCTCAAAACTTACATTCCAAGTAGTTACATTGCATGATGGCTCCACAACAATATTCCATATGCATATGTATGTAGTGCTGTGTAATTTAATGTGAAAGTTTTAAACAGTAGAATTGTTGACTGAGACTTATTAGCTTCTATCAACCATTTATCACATTACATGCAATTTGTACAGCTCAGACAATTCAAGCTCATTTGGCAACATTGCATCAGGCACAACATCACACACAACAGCAACAGCAACGTAACCTATCAGCATCATCGTTACAACAGTTACTTCTAAATCAGAATTTTGGCAATGCAGGACGAGGCTCAGGCAAATCAGGTAAGCTTGTGGTAATCTATTGTCCTTCATTCATTCATTCATTCATTCATTCATTCATTATTAGAGGGGGTGGGTTCCCCATGTACTTAGACCAGTTATTGGTCCATTGTGCGTCCCCCTTTAGTTTCTACTGTCCCCATACCCTACCAGTACTGGTGCTTTGCTATCAGCCCCACTTTGCCAGCGAGGTCGGTCCTCTTCTGGCACGTGGTACCTGATGCTTCCCCCATCTACCAGAGGCATTGGAAACTACTTTGGCGGGAAACTTCTTGCCTGATTTAGCTCAGAGGTCTCCTAGAGACATGAGGATCTTTTACGTGCCATAAATCTACGACACAGGACACACGGCTTAAAGTCCCTCCCGGAGGACTTGTTCCCTGAATTTTTCCACCCTTAAAAATTTCACGACCTCTGCCGGGTTTGAACCCATGTACCTTGAGTCATGAGGTGGGAACGTTACCCCTAGACTACGGAGGCCGCTTATTGTCCTTAAAATAAAATACAAAGGTTTTGGATTGAATCTGCCCCAGTAGTCTAGTGCTAACATGCTTGCCATTGGACCCAAAGTTTGTAGGTTTAAATCGAGCAAGGGTAGATGGATTTTTAAGGGCAATAAACATCTGTAGCACAACATCCTTTGAAAGGGAAGGAAAGCTCGGGATCCCATATGTATTTACGGCATGTAAAAAACTTTTACTCGTGATAAGAGGTATAGGAAAGAAAAATCAGAAACCATTTTTGGATAACCACACAGTGTCCTACTGTTTCTGGGTGCAGTGACTTCAGATAAGAATGGGAAATTGAAATTGTCAATCTAAGTATGCTAGATAACTGGTAATGTAACTTGCCCAAGTGGTGTCTGAATAGAAAGTTACAAATATACCAGCCAGCTGAGGTTAAAGCATGAATGACTTAATTGTCAAAAGTGTGACATTAGAAACCAACCAGGTTTAAGAATGAACACTCATTGTGATGAGTTCTGTGATGGCAAACAGGAAAAGTGGTTATATTGTTTTGAATGAAATGTGGTGTTTCTCTGTTTGTGCAGGTCCATAGTAATTTACCATGGCAGATATATAGGATAATACTGATGTTCACTTTATTTTTACACTTTCAGATTCTCGTATGTTGAGATCCCAGCAGTCTCAGGCAATGGCAATTGGACGTCAGGGCCAAACAATGAACCTTCCAGTTAATCGAGACATGTCAACTTCACCGACAAGCAACCAACTGGCACGATGGTTCTCCCCAGAGCTGCTAGCACAAGCTCGTGCAGGTCAACTACCAGATATGCCACCAATACCATCAACACAGAACATGTTAAGTTTGGAGGAATTGGAGAGGCTGCAACAAGCTTCAGCTGCTGTTCATAACTGAATTGGAAACAAGTTAAGGGCTTGTTACTGTAATTAGTTATAATAATGGATGAGGTTTTCACTGGACTTTTCTATTTTGCTGACTTTGGAGAAAGTATTGTTACTTTACACTATGGTTATGGTGCAAATCTGTCAAAAGGTACAGTCATTTTGCTTAGGTAGCCCATGACAGAAGTAATAAAAGTAGATACTTTAATTCTGCCATTGAGAAACTATAAATTTCTTTAATGATTTTGATTTTTTGTTTGTTTCCTTTCCATGTTAAGTATCTGGATTTGTGTCAACAAATCATAGTGGTTCCTCCATCAGTCAGAAAGTGGAAGACAGATTTACACAGAAGTGCCACACAGTGTTGTATATGTAGACAATACTGTTATGGAGAATAGTATTAAAATGAAGTGAAATAAATACTCGAAATTTAACTGGCCAAAGAAAACTGTTCATAGGTAATATTTAATATTACATGTATGTATATATGCAGAGTAAGTTAGGTAATACAACACCACAATTTTGTATTCTGGTACTGTAATTCTGTGAAATGAGGATGGAAGGCCTATTATAGAAGTCTTTTTATAAATTATGAGAAGGTTTCTTGAATACTGAAATTCATATTCATGGTTTTGGAATGTCACATCATAATGTGAACGGTATGATTGGAAATAAAGCTGTATTGGGAGCAGTGAAGGCAGAAAGACCAGTTGAAATAAATATGTATAGAAATAATCAACATAGAAACGTGGTGTGAAAGCTTATTGTTAATTTTCTTGCTTTACAGAGATGAGTGCATTAGTGTGTGAGATTTGAGAATGGGGAAAATGTCATCTGAGAATAATAATTTCTATGGTTAAGTGAAGAATTACAATGTTCAAAGTCGTGGGATTTCTCTGTGCTTACTCTGTTTTAGCTGTAATGTAAACAGATTAGGAACAAATTCCTATTTGATATGTGTTTGCACAGTTTTCTTTTGTCATGTGGTTGTAGAAAAATGGGAAGATGGGAGGTATGTTTCCTTACAAAAGAAATAGTCCCCCTTTTAAATTTGTTTTTCTGCAGTTTAAAAGTGGAAGAAAAGTAATTAAATTGAATCCTGAAAACAATGGCATATGTTAAATATATATTTATATTTTTGTAGGCACAGATGAAAAAAAGATTAAGGTATGACTTGTAGTTTAGTGGCTGTAACACAGGTATCTAAATTATTTAAAGCATGTAGAAAGGTTACCCTAATGCAGAAGGAATGATAGGTTGAATCTGGATTTATGAGAGTGAGTGCAAAGAAATTTCTGACCAACTATGATTGATGTAATAATGAAGAATCGCTAAATGTTCCAGTTTAAGTTAAATTTCAGTATTGTTCCCATTCAGCGTGATAGTGTTGAGAATTTTCTGAAAACTGAGATGTGATGTTAACAATTATTTGTTCAAAGTGTGGTTATCAGAACCTACAACTAATAGTTAACTTTTGAAGAAGCAGTAATAGTAGTTTTCCATACTTAGGTCGGAAAGAAGTGTGAGGAACGAGGAAGTCAGTGTATATGTGGTATGTTTGATGACAAAATATAGTGAACAAATTAAGACACCAGCATTAAGTGGTTGGTAGAAAGAAAATAAGTCCTTTCCTCATTTTGGAAACAATTTTTTTTTGTTTTGACACTTGAAAAGGAAACTTAAAAAGAGTCACTGCCAGTAGTTTGCTTCATGAAAGTTGGTTGGAAGAAATGGCTGTGAGTCATGTGGACATTGTTCTTCCTTTTGTTAATGACAGATTTTTTTTTGTAACAGAACAAATGGCCAAACATTTGTAGTGCAAAAGTTAATATGGTACACTTGCTTGAGAATGATCTGGTAAAAGAACATGCATTCCAGTGAAATGAACGCATAGGATGTTAATGGTGATTTTTTTTTTAAGTTTATAGAATATTTATTAATTTTCTTTAGCATTTTCATGTTTCTCACATTTGAAAAATGAGTGTTTTTTTTTTAAGTATGCTCAGTGTTTGCTGAAGAAGACTCCTTCAGTGCAGCAGGATATGCTATCCTCTCCGTTCTTCAGGCAAGAATATAAGACTGTTCCTTCATACAAGCTTTTTGTCGGCTGCTGTGTAAATCCTAGTGGAAGTAGGGTTATGAACATATTGCTTCTTTGAGTCATTAAATGAAGAATGAGTGTGGTTCTTTTTTGTTGAATGTTGTATAAAAAGTTTTGTGCATCTGTATGTGAGTGAAAAAATGTGGATGTCTGCNCATGTTTTCAATATGGGTGAGATGGGGGGGGGGATATAGAAAACCTACAATACCATATTGAACATGACAAGAAAGGAGAAATGTGATGTTTAAAAAGTGACTTAATATGGGTTTATTAAGAATAAATGCAAGTAATATTCATGACAGACTAATTCATAGCACAAAGAAATGAAGATCTATGTGCACGTTACCAGATGCTTTTGTCTTAAATAATTTAGAAGTAGATTACATGTTACACAGAACAAATGTAGCTGCAGAAACGTCTGACCTTCTGAAATTCAAACTGAAATGGTGTGTCATACAAAGGAACTAAATAATTTCTTCCAATAAATTGTGTTTTTGGAATTGCTTATCTCTTGCAGTATCAGTGTATGCATTGATTTTTGTATGTTTATTATTTTATGATCTTGGCTTTGACTACTGAAAGACTCCTCATATTTTATGTCACCTTGAACTATTCTCATTTCCAGTCAGCCTTTATGGGCATACAAAATCATTGTAATCAGTGGAGGTTGTATAGAAAGCTTCTGTGGCAAGAAAATTATAAAATTAAATATATGGATCTGATTTGATTTTTATAATCTTGGTGATTGTTCTGGACCCCTAGCATTTATAAGAGGAGAATGTTATTCAGAGATATCATGGCGAGGTAAATAAATATGAATTCATATACAAGTATAGCCAAGATAATTTTCTAGTTAGGTGACACACTGAAGCTCTCATATGTTGCAAGGTTAGGAATTATTTTTGTCCACCCAGAAACATTTGTACTCTCAGCATACATACTGGAACTCCAAGCAGTAACTTTCTTTATTTCTCAGCTTCTCTCTCAGTTTGGATCAGTGTGTGAGATGTAGTGTCAAGATTACTGTGCGATTCCTAATACCTGCTACAACAATGAAAACTAGACCTTATTTGTTGAAGTACATGTGTTCCCAGCATATATGTACACTTGCTACCCTACAACTCAACATGATAGGAAAAACATCAGAATAAGCTAGATAACCATTTCAGTAGTGGCAGTTTCTTTTATAATGCCAAGTGTGAAGAAGTAATCAGGACTTGCGTTTAGTGTTCCAACTTGGTAATCTGTGTGTATGTGGACATTTGCATAGTATTTTAACTGCGTGATATTACTAGAAAGTCTTCATTTTGGCATACACATTCTGAATCAACTTCATGTGGAATGAACCATGTTACTTGTTACATTAACAGCTGTAATTTGAATGTAGGTTCAGTGTATCTCAGTATCAGGAGTTACAGTGATGTGTACTATGTAATTAGGTGATTATATGCAATTAAAGCAGGAGCATCTTTTTAGAAAGACCCTGTATGCGATTTATCAGAGATTAGTTATGACTGTTCCAGCAAATCAACCATAACATGATAAAAAGGTAAAACTGACACTGTGCATAATTAATTAAGCACTATGTCATCAAGACACGGGGGAGTGGAGGTATAGCTCCACCATTCTTGATCTTGGCACTAGATTGAGGTGAGTGGTCAGCTTCACGCCCCTCCCACTTTATCCCTAAGGAAGGAGTCCCTGGTACCTGTTGTATAGGAAGCTGGGTGGGCCCCATTGTAGTCTGAACACTGGAGAAGAGGGAAGATCTTGCATTGCCAGGAATAGAACCTGGGCCATCTAGCACATAGCATGTCACTATACAGATTGCTACCATGGCATGGTAGGATAAGCAAAGACAGGGCTCCAGTATGTCATTTGACTGCTTTGACTAAAGTTTGCAGATGGTTATACACCATTTTACCAGACATTGTGGTTGATTAGAAATTGTGTTTGGGATCCAGGAGGTCCCATGTTCAAAAACTCAGCCCATACACTAGTTTTATTGAAAAAAATGCTGGAATGCTACTTTAGAATATTGCCTATGAGCACTTCCTTAACATCCCTTCAGATTCATCATCCACTGATCACCTTCTCATGGACACAACCAGTGCAGTTTATGATGTCATTAAATAAATGAATAATCATTATTTTGGTAGTTATATGCTACTACCAGCAACACAGTGAAAGAAAAGAGAAAAGTCAGCAATCAAACTTGAAGTTGATTACTCATGTGTATGTGTTTTTTTACTTAAAGCAGTGTGATGAGAATTTGAAAAATTTTTGAGAATCAAACTACAACTTTCTCCAGTAGATCCATTTTTTCACTGTAATCACAATTTATTACAGTCTGCTTTTTTACAGTGATCTGAACTGTATTTACTTATCCCTTTTGATATAACATTGATGCTGCATACAGAATTGGAGAAATGTGCATTGTGGATAGATTTTAAGTTAAGCATTGCTGCAAACCATTATGATTGTGATGGATTTTATTCTTTGCGTGGTGCTGTGCAAAGCAAAAGCAATAACCTGAAAATTATCTGGGTTTTATATGGAACAATCACTGTTTGGATATAAGATATCTTCCCTCCCCCCCTTCTTTTTAGTGGGGGGGGGGTAGTCTTAAAAGCCATACTTGCTATTATAGAAAGAAAAAACTATAAATCTCAAACACTGTACATATTCAACATTTGTTCAGAGACATTCACTTCATGAAGGCATGAGCTGAGACAGCTGTAGCAAAAAATGTAGGCTGGATGACCATAGACTGATTCCTGGTATAGGCAGGGGTTTTTGTATTCATCACTGCACTTCCACTAGCTCTTGGAAGCCATGTATCCCATCCAGTGGATACTGGGAGTAAAGTGGGGTGGCCACCTACCTAGTACACTGCTGAGGTCAAGAATGGCAGTCCCCCATGTAGTGTGGTGCTTAATTAAGAATGGGGGATTTACTTTCTTTATATGCCCTGTACTATAGGACTAGTGGCCAGAATTTAACTGGGGTGTATGAATGTGTAAGGAGTGGGCCTTCTTGGCCCTTGCACCGCAACCACAACGATGTATTTATATTGGAAAAATGCAACATGTGGCCAATAGAGGTTAATTACAGAATTGCCTAATGCAGATTTGAATTGCATAAACATGGGTGGTCAGTACAACCTTGCTCTTCAAAAAATAAGTGGTAAACTAAAATTCTGTTGCATAGCATGCTATATTTTAATAGCATGTTAGGTGGGTGGACAATATTAAAATGGATCTTAAGATAGATAATGGGATAGTATGGATTGGATTGATCTGGCTCAGGATAGGGACCAGTGGAGGGCTCTTGTGAACATGGTAATGAACCTTCGGGTTCCATAAAATGCTGGGAAATTCTTGAGTAGCTGCAGAATTGGCAGCTCCTCTAGAAGGGCTCAGCTCCATGAGTGAGTAAGTACATTTGTGGATATTTTAAAGCCTCAGTGCCTTATTGCAATGGGCAGTTCCAATTCATGTGGGATTTGAGGTGGACATGTGGCAATGGAGCTGTTTCTAAGTATTTTAATTTCTCCTCACTCATATGCTATTTGGCATAACACCAGGCCATTGTTTCACATGGCTATGGGCCACTTGCACTGAATCCTGCTGACAGGTCAAGTTTGAAAGATTTTCTGATATGGATATTATCCAAGCACTGACATGATATTGGAACTGAGGTTAACTTTGTATTTTCTGTGCACCCAGAGTTCTACTTATAACATAGATATCAACCATGGCAAAATAATTGGAATCCTTTAATGAATACTCAATTACAACATGTTTCTTCTTGAAAAGGTGTGCAGAGAAAATGACCTTATCACTGTGCAGTATTCTTAGCCATTTAAACGGCACAGTTACGAACCTGATGTATTTCAGTAGTGTCCAAGGAATGAGCAATGCTCTATAAGTAAAAATAAACAGAAAGGCACTCCACTATTACAGATTAAAACAAAATACGACCAAGGGATACAGATATTTAAAAGTTCACTTCAATCATACTATGGCTCCACATTATGCTGGTGACTTCAGATGTTACTTCCTGGGGGGAGGGACGTTTTATTCAACGCCTACATGGCATGTAAACATTTTAAAAACCTGGGCATTTCTTACATACAGCTGATTTTGATATTTCACACGTCACATAAATACTGACGTGGCAATTTCTAAACATCCATGTATTACTGGAAGATTGTTAATCAATATACTAAGAGCACAAGAAAAACTACCAGCTCTAAATGTTGCAAAACTTAATGAGGGTATGTGCACAAAATTTTGGTATGGGTGAAAATATTAATATTGTAAACTTCTGCACAAAATTAACCGACTTTATTCACATGAAATGTTATATACACTTTCGCATATGCTTGGTTTCTTCAGACACGTTTTTTCAAATATGTAGTTAAACAGTATCAGTACGGTTAGATATTAAACCCAACCACGTACACATGCCATTTTTGGGCTGATCCATTTCAGACACTCAAATATTCTACACCACACATTAATTGCTATAAATGCATTCCCACAATAAAGATGCTTCACTCATAGCTTAACAGTTGTAAACGAAGTCCCTTACTTGATCACTGTCGTCATAAAATAAAGCAAAATAACCCTGACATAAGAATCGGATTATGGAACAAAACATCTCCGAAAACTTGCCTAGAGAGCTCACACCCCGGATTAATGCAAACATTCTATCCCTTGCACAATCACCTCCTCCTGCCCGGAACTGCTCCGGGGTACAACGCTCGCAAGCTCCCAAGTGAACGAAATGCTAGTGCGCATTGATACAAGCCCCTGCAATATTTAAGACACGTAACACAAACATCAGCAAAATATCAAACAGAAGTTATAGAACTGATACCGTAATATAAAAATAAAACACTAAATTAAAATAACTTTGATTTAAAGTTCGCTTTTAAATGAATATATGTATAATGCACCACTGACGGTTTTTACTAGCACTGCGGAAGCCTTCCGACGCAGTAACACGTAACTGACATAGTGGACAAATTTCATTGGTCAACGAGTAGAATATTACAAGATGGTTTCTGTTTATGGTGGTAAAATAGGGCTACGAGGGAATTTACATATTTTGTAGGGAAAATTAAATATAATTAACTTCATTGCACTTCTGGTGCCTTTAAAATTCACATGTAATGCTAAATATTTACTGGTACAGTTTGCTAGGGAAGATGCTGTTGTTTCCGGGAACATTTTAAATGCAATCGATATAAGAAGTACATAGTGCACACACAACCGTTCGCGCAGCGAACGCAACCTGCCGCCGACAGACGAAACTACAGGTCCCTGGTTCTATTTCGTGAAAACCCCTTCGAAGTGCTTGTCGAAATAGAGTATGAAGAAGAAAAGGCACTTTCATGTCTTTGAGTTTCTTCAGCATTTTGCATTTATTAAATTTGCACATCAGCACCGAACATACTATTTCACAAGTATTTGAAGGTAAGTTAATGTCGTTAACTACGTCTTGTATTATGGGTTCTTGAACTCGTCTGGCGACTTGCTTGGTTACCCAGCCCAGGAACAAAAGCCTAGTCCCGCCATTGCTCCAACTTTACCGAAGGAGTATTTGCTTCATAATTTTGCAAATGTGCACGTATAAGTTACAGTGGAAATTGAATGAACGTGTATGTGAATATCTAATACGTATATTGTGCCGACCACATAGTTTTAATACTTCTTTCACCGTATGGTGTGTGATACGTAATCATACGACGTTTTAATTCGTGAGGACGTATGACCTTCAAAACACCCAAGTGTTCGGAAGGAAAGAAGTGTACCAGAATTTGTATCCACGCATGTATGTTGGACAAATATTGAGTTACGGACACAGTGTACTGTGCAGTTGGAGTATATTACAAAGTAAGACGGTGAGAAGAATATTCTATAGAAACACTGATAAATGAGTAGCCTGGCGAAGCAAATGAAACAGGAGACTGAACTGAAATGGGGCTTGCCCGGATGTGATAATATGTGCTGGAATATTTATGAGCGTTGAGTACTGAAGATTGAGTTTATCAAGTGGAAAGAAAAATGGCCAGTTGTATATGTTAGAGAAAAGAGAGTCCAAGTAAAATTATTTTATTCTCATGATGAGCTGTTATTCTGGATGTGATGAATGTAATTATCAAACCTGAGATCATAGGACATACCAGAAGTTTAGTGTATCATATACTTTGAACTAACAGAATTCTTCTCATCACAAGTTAAGCCATGCATGAAGCTGGGTGAATTTAGGACAGAAGATGTGTATATGCATTTGGTATAATTAATTAAAAGAGAAGAATGGAAAGTTGTTCACATAGGGCTCTCAGGCTTTTGTGACGGTTTACAGTTTCTTTGTCAAGTATGACTCAGATTTACCTGTGACTAATTATATCTAGTCAGATGAAGTGGTAGGAGTTCAGTTGTTATTTTAGAGCAAAATAAGAATTAATTAAAAATTGAATTCATTTTGGAAACTAATGTAAAAGTTTTGGTTGGTTCATACTGCAAAGAGAAGTTAGTGCATGTGAAGAAAAAGGGTACAGCTGTGTGTGCACTGAAGTGGAGTGGAGGGCAGATGTTGCAGGTTGTGATCACGTGAATTTGTGTGCTGTTGACCTCCATGTGTCATCAGTGTTTGGAAAATTCTTTTAGGGATTCATCATTGATGGTCATCTCATTGTATGTTCTTTAGAAATAGGGAGTTGTTTTGGGGATTCGTTTTCTTGAAAGAAGCATAAAATGAGTTAGTCCTGTATGAATTGTGTTAAAAAAATTACCAGGTGATGGGTAACATATTGGCAGACGACTGCGTATTCTTTCACCAGAGAACTGTTGTGTATTGGTATATTTCATTTGTCTGCAGTTGTGAACTCAATATGTTTATTTTATTTGTACTTTAATGAGATGCATTAGGCCAATTTCAGAATTTGAGGAACAGTTCTAAACACTGTACACCCTTTAAGCAACCAAGAACAAACAATATTGGCATAGAATAAAGCCCTGGGCATTTTTTGCAGCTTTTGTGATTCGATTTTAAGGTGAATTTGTTTCCAAACTGTAATTTTTTTTGTAATATTTGTAACCCCAGACCAAGGTTTGGTAATCGTTTTTTTTTTTTGAGACATTGAAATTTATGTTCTTTATTCATGAGAATTAATAAAGTGTTTGTCTTAGACATGATTTGAAATGGGATGGAATTTCAAGCAGAGATGTAACTTGTTTGGATGTGAAATCAGTTAAGAAACTGATACAAGTGACAGCTGATACTGGATAGTCTGAATTTCAGTGAGATTTATATGTGGTGAAGGATGGGCCCAAAAGTGGAGTGAATGTGAAATAATGATAATTGGTGGATGAACTGATTATGTTAACCATGGAAGTAATGGAAATTCCAGGCCAGATTGTTCTTTATTTTATGACAGTGTTATACCTTCAGTACACAAGGATTAAGGCTGCTACAGATAGGCATTTGATGGCATTCGTTGCTTCAACAAGTTAGCTGTACCATCTAGATGGAAGGAGAAATTTTCACCCGGGTTCGGATAATAGATCACAGCCACATGTAAATACATTTACCAGACATGGGAGCAAGTACATGGACCTGACATCGGAAAACCCCGCAGAATTACGGAAATGGTAGAAGTGGCGCATGTTTTTTATTGACAGTTTGTTTGGTAATCGTGACTTGATGATTTACTCCCAGATGATTTACTCCCAACCGACCTTTGTCTTGCAGACCTGGGTTCATTGGTGTAATTTGCTGAAGATGATCTTGATTTGTAACTGCAGTTTATTCTTACTGACGCTAGATGAAATGAAAACCAAGTCTTTCTCGTGGTTCTGCAAGGTTTTAGCTTTAGGAATATACAGGGTGTCCCAGGAGGAATGGACCAAACTTCAGGAGGGTGTTCCTTATGTTAAAATATGCCGNTTACGTCATCGCTCGCCAGTCATGTGTCATGTATAGTGCTTGGGAACCCTAAGGACAATTATGACATGGCGAGCGAGTATTTTGTACTTCAATTTTATGGCTTCATGTCACTCACAAGTTAGTTCGATGTTACGTACATTATTAACATTACAGAATCCACATATTCCTGCCAGTTTTAATATGCATTTTGTAATCAACAAGTGTGCAACGCCGGTCAAAGTTTGCACTTCTCTGGCCATTATTTCCGTAACCGTTCAACTTTGGACGTAGGTGTTTAGGGTTATATCGGCATACTTTAACATAAGGAACACCCTCCCGAAGTTTGGTCCATTCCTCCTGGGACACCCTGTATATGAAGTATCTCCACTTGTTTAAGGGAAACAAATAATCACCCTTTTATGAAATGGAGAAAACATATCCCAAGATTCTGTTAAAGCAGACGTTCATATTTATTGAGTTAATGATAAAGTAGCGCGTATTGACGTATTTTTTATGTCTGTATGGGATCATATGGTGCATATTGCCGAAGCGCGGGCTTGTACATGCACGGTGTACTTGGTTTACAACGAACGATTGTGTGTATGGAAGGGACTTACTTTCGCTCGCTTACTGCCATCGTTGACCAACGCATACTACATCGAATGAATCGAAATATAAACAGTATCTCTTAAAACTTGGTGACTGAATTGTTTTGTTGTAAAGAAAACCTTATTCTTATTGGTGAAGTGTCTCAAAAATGGAAGCATCAAGACTTGAATTAAATCTTCATTACGAGTATGTAAGGCCCATCGCACAAGAACCAAATTAAGTACGAAAAATATAAATCATTCCACTGGGTTTTGTTAAAACAAGTTCAATAAGACGCACGGGGTGCTCCAAAAAGATTTATTAGACCTGACAGCCATGACGTTCAATATTGAAAGATATCTAATATTATCTGAGACCCAGCTGAGAGTAACATGAATCGACTGGCTGGAATTCTAGCAAGAGAATATCAATTTCGTTCCGTTCAATACCGTTAAGCAAGAACAAATTACGCACCGAACTCGGTTGGATTCGGAAGCAGGTACCTTCGATCGGAGCCGTAGCTCTCCAACTGGAATTTTCGTAGCTTTCATCAGTCACTCCAGTCGAAAGTGTGTATATTACTTGAAGAGGCCAAGACTGCTTCCTCCCCCGCATGCTTCTGGATTAATGCATAATTAATATGTAGACTCACAATAACTTACGAGCCAAGAAACTGATGTGTCACCTTTGTCATGGGATGATTTTTCTCGCCACAAAATTCCACATACTCTGGTGGTTGATTAGACATCACGGTCGTTTCTGAACTATAATACAACCGACGCTAGACCGGCAAATTCGAAGTTTAAAAAAAAATGTTACCAAACGAAAGTATTATTTTTTAGGTCCTGTTGGCTTCGTCCATGGAGCAGAGTCCGTGAGAAGCTGATAAGACTCATCTACAGAGCAAGTCCCAGCATTTTATGAAGCCGAATGTTCATTGAGCGATGAGAGTGCACTCTGTTCGCTATCCCTTGCGAAATCAATCGAGACCCTATCCTCATAACTTATTCATAATTTCAGGTGTTCCTGGGTTTTCAAAGCGGTCAGCTCCTTTCATTTTTTTCAGATAAGAGTTCTGTACGAATTTCCTGACTTTCTCTGCCACATTTTTAAAATTATTTTGGAGCCGGAATACTTCGGTGTACCGATAAGGCTATGCGTTGTACAATCGAGGAAACGTGGTTCGATTTCAGGCAGGGGCAAGATATTTTTCTCTTTGCAACGTCAAGGCCTGCCCTAGGAACCACCCAGCTCCTTATCCGTGGTACCGGGGGCTCCTTTCCTAGGACTGAAGATGCCCAAGCGTGAGGCTTAACACTCCCATCTACTGCCGAAGGAAGAATGTGTAGAAATGTTTAACTTTTATTCCGGCGTACGGTTTCTTCGTGTGCTGCATATTAAAACACAGAGACGACTTTACTTAAGATTTATGTTTTTTTATGCATTCTGGCGACGAGACAACATATGTTTCCTGTTTTGCTTGTACTTCAGGACCAACTTTCTTGCTAGCATCTGGTAACAACTTGTGTTTTTAATGGTATTTATAATTGTGACATGTTTGATTATAGACGGTATTTGGGTTGGTGATTTATTGACCAGTTACAGCTCGTAATTATGGTGCTGTCGTTAATCTCCACAACTTACAAATCACTAGAGCACACGCGAAGTCTCCTCATTCCGCTTTCACCCGTCATTCCCTGGTAACGGACCTTAACTGTGGAGATTCTTCAGCTTCTGTGCTCATGTCGTTACTGCCCTGCGAATATCCCACAACTCACAACTGACTCAGTGTCGAAGTCGAAGTCACATTGAGACTGACGGTCAGTCAGTCAGTAAGTGTCGAGCCACATCTGGGTCTCATGACCAGATATTTATTACTGTTTGACATTTACGGTCTTGCTTTTGTGGGGCGCCCTCTCTCACGAGAGGACGGGTCTGTCTTCTATATATACTGCTG